ACTATAGCTGCCAGAATCTTCCAGCTAGTATTGTCACTGGTTTGGTGGATTTTGAAATTCCTTTCTAAGTCTTAGACTACTGGTCCAGTTAACTCAGTATTATGTACACTGACTGGCAGCTGCTTTCCAGGACCCCAGACAAAGTTCTTTCTCAGCCTGACCTACAGGTAATAGGGGTTGAACTTGGGACCTTTTTTTTCATGGTGTGGCATTTTCCCTGAAACTCTGCAATTCTTACTTTCAAATCTGGATATAACCCAAGTCTGTGTTTCTATTTGTGTTTTTGTCTGTAATGCATTCCACATTGTTTTCCTTGAGGCACAGCTCAACACAGGATGTCTTCAGTTGATCTGTATCTCATGCTTTTCAGTGTAAACTTCAAAGATCCAGAAGCAGTGAGAGCCCTGACATGCACGCTGTTAAAAGAAGACTTCGGACTTCAAATTGACATACCGTTAGAAAGGCTTATCCCGACTGTTCCCTTGAGACTTAACTATATCCACTGGGTTGAAGACCTGATTGCTCAGCAAGATGCTGCTGCTAAAGGCTCGGTGATATGGGGAATAGACATAGGTATGCGTTAAGCTGGTGACTATCAGAGCAGGCCTATTGTCCTGCTACACCTGCAGGCTTTTTATGTCACCTCATCATCTGTGTAGCGTAGTCAGTATTTTGTATATATTTCCAGGACAAACATTGAAATAAAAACATGCTGGAACAAAAAGCACAGAACAGAACAAGGTTCACTTTTACATTGCCCATGGCAAACAGTTGGTGTGTATGAAGCATGAACTGGTAACATCTCCAGACACCAAATGTACTAATTTTAACCACATAATACTTTTGTAATCGTTTCCTATCTGGCATACATTTTGACAGAGACATTAACACACGGTGCTCTCCAGTGCGTGATCCACTGTGGTGCAGGCAAGAAAAACTTAGGGAGTGGGATGACCCAGGAACTCCATCTCATGGGATTCATGACCCCCTTTATTCCTAATCTGCTAACAGACTTATTTCATCAGAGAAACATATAGGTTTCTCTGATTTGAAAATGCAGGCCATCTTTTCTTATCAGTTTATAGTGGCTTAATCTTGCCTTTGTGTAAAATATCAGCTGCTGTAATAATGATATAGATACAATGTCTTGTGAAATGATGGATTCAAGTCAAAACATAAGATGGATGTTTTCTCTGATAGCGGGCATGTAGTGGCTTAATCTTGCCTTTATGTCCAATATCAGCTGCTGTAATGATATAGATAATGTGTCTTGTGAAATGATGAGTTCAAAAGCTGGCATTCTGTAGTAGGTAACTTATTTTAAGACGTGTAATAATAACTTAAATGCATTGTCATTAATATGTTTTGGCCACTCTTCATTGTTTTAACTATGAACATTTTCTCTCCCTTGGTTATGATGTAGGTACAGGTGCATCTTGTATTTACCCATTACTTGGTGCAACTTTGAATGGGTGGAATTTCATTGCGACAGAAGTGGATGATGTGTGCTTCAGCTATGCTAAGAAAAATGTGGAGCAAAATAACCTTTCTGGTCTGATAAAAGGTACCCTTTTATATCCATTTTTTCTCCTATGTAATAAATTACAAATGGAGGAGAAAAATTGCACTTTCAATTCTGTAAAGTTACTCAGTTACGAAAGCCAGAGTTTGAGAAAAGGGAGTCAAGACTCCACACTGATATGAAAGCTGTGTGTTGTATAACAATTTCTGAACATTCGAAGGAAATTAAGCAAGTGCCTGATCAGCCCTTTCCCTTTCATTTTCTTGCAGTGGTGAAAGTACCACAAAAAACGCTGCTACTGGATGCCTTGGAAGAGGAGTCTGAAGTTATCTATGATTTCTGCATGTGCAATCCTCCCTTTTTTGCCAACCAGCTGGAAGCAAAGGTGTGTTGACTGCTGTCCATGTGAACTAGGCCTTTTCGCTGATGCTGGCAGATGCTCCTTTGTCTGTTTGCAACAGCTGTTAAGTTTAGTTGTTGGTTACATAGACACACACTTGGTAGATGCTGAAGAAGATGCATCTGTGTAGTTTTCATCTAATTGATTTGCTTGACTGTGTAGCAAGACAGACTGTTCTTCTCCACATCTAATGTATGAAGACACTGCCAGCTGTGTGGTTTCAAGAGCATACTATTGCTTTATAAAATGTAAGGCAAACAAATATGGTTATAGCTGTCCACATGGCAACCAGTTTGCCTAACTCTCCAAACCAGCCCTCCCAACTTTAGTGCATTTCAAATTATTTGTAACTATACACAGATCTGCCAAGGATGGTCTCATTTTCCACATACAATAATTTCTTGTAATCCAGGGATCTGCAGGTGAAATGTTAAGAGAGAAGAGAGTACAGTTTGGAAGTTTGGAGTAAAGGGATTAGTTTAAATTTAAGAGAGCTAAAAGTGAAAAGCTTGCATTGCTTAAATGGGAGAGTTTAGCCAAGAGACATTGAAAGTCTATATTAATAGTGATATTTGTAGTGTTACTAGGAAGAAGGATGACATGACAGTGGCAGAATGAATATGACTAGCAAAGTGAATATGGCCAAGAACAAAGAATGAGCTAAGATATAATAGCTTTATCTATCAGGGAATATTTAATACTAAAGTGTAGCAGTCTTAATAACATCTTGCAGAGAGTAACCAGATTATTATCAAAGATGGTTGTTGTGGGTTTTTCGGGCTCTTTGGCCATGTTCTGAAGGTTGTTCTTCCTAACATTTTGCCAGTCTCTGTGGCCGGCATCTTCAGAGGACAGCACTGGCGAAACGTTAGGAAGAACAACCTTCAGAACACGGCCAAAGAGCCCGAAAAACCCATAACAATCATCAGATCCCAGCCGTGAAAGCCTTCGCGAATATATTATCAAAGAGTTACAATCTGTCCTTTGCTTATATAGTGCTATCAATCCACATGGCTTTGTATAAAGTTAAAGTGGAATAGGGGACATACAGGTGAAACAGTAAGACAGCAAAAAGCAGGAGACGGAATAGTAATATCACAAAAGTTACCATATTTTTCTGTGTATAAAATGACACTTTTTCCTTAAATAATACACAGAAGGCAGCTCTTTACCCCTGCCTTTTGCGAAGGCATGGGGCTTAGCAAAAAGGAAGGGGGGAATTGCTCCCTTCCTTTTTGCTAAACTCCGTGCCTTCTCAAAAGGCAAGGAAAAGTGGCAGTCACTTTGACAGCTGCTTTCCTTGCCTTTTGCCAAGGCACAGGGCTTAGCAAAAAGGGAGCCCTTTGATCCCTGCTTTTTCTAATTTGGGGTTAGAAAAAGGGGGGTCGTCTTATACATTGGGTCATCTTTTAAACGGGAAAAAATGGTATATGCCATCAAGTCATTTCTGATTTATGGCAACCTTGCGAATTTATAACTTCCAGGAGATTCTGTCATTAACAGACCGTAGCTTCCAGTATTATGCATCTCATGCGTGGTCTTCCTGTTTTCCTCCTGTCTTTCATTTTTCCTACCAATATTGTCTTTTCCAGTAATCTTGTTTTCTCATGGTATGTTCTAAGTATAATAATCCATTTAGTCTTTTTCCTTGTAGTGCATTTTCAGGCTGATTTGATTCATGTGTCTTTCTGGTAATCTATGGTCTCTGTAAAGCTGTCCTTCAGTACCACATATCGTATGCGTTGATTTGAATGCTAGAAATATGGTCTGGGGTTGGAAAATAAAGTTCAGTGGCATCAGCATACAGATTCATGGGATCTAATTTAGTGGATCCAAGGACAACATGCAAATATTTTATGAAACAAACACTTTGTTCCTCTTCTAGGGTGTAAATTCTCGTAATCCTAGAAGACCCCCTCCAAGCTCGGTCAACACAGGAGGAATCACTGAGATCATGGCGGAAGGAGGAGAGCTAGAATTTGTCAAGAGAATTATTCATGATAGCCTGCAGTTGAAAAAACGGTTAAGGTAAAAGATTCACATAGAATCAAGTCTAATTGCCTATATTACCATTGCAATCCCACATTATTTTTTAATATGAAATATGACCCAAATATATTCAAAATGAAAATAAAGTAATCTTTGTATACAGACTATTTAAAAACAAACCACCATATTAAGTACTAAACAAGGTGATTAAAAGCACACAACAGACCCCCTATTTCCTTAAATTATTTTTTCAGACAAAACAAATTTGGTCACCCTCAATAAAATGTATAGCTCATTGCCTGAAAGAAGAATACATGTCAGATCTATTACAGGCTTATTAGCAATGTACTGTAAAATATTAGCAATGTGTTTATGCCTTGGCTGATCATTTGGTTGAGAACCTAATAGGAGATACAAAAGAGGCTTCATCTTCATTGACTCACAGATTCAAATTCTCTCAGCCTGACCCACCTCGCTGGACTTTTTTGTGAAGATCATGTGGGAAGGAAAACAGCCATATATACTGCCTTAGAGAAAAGCTGGCTTGTAGATGTAATCCAAGGTGGCTGGAATCCTCTTGCCATAACTTATACCATGTAAGTCTGATGATAGTAGCAGCAGGAGGTTTTTTTGAATTTAAAATTTCATCTGTCCTGCATGTTCCAAGATTCCTGAGTAATCCCTTTCATCATTGGGAGGTTGTGGAGGCTGAGGCACATGAGGAATAAGTCTTTAATTACCAAAAATGACCACCACTTGAATCACCATGAGCAGTGATTTCTGTTAATTAAAGACATCTTCCTGTCCCATAGCCCCCACAATTTCCTAACAATGAAAAAAGATTTCACAGGAGCCTTAGGACCTTTGGGAGATAAATGGGGAAATGTATTCTTGAAGGCGTTCATGGGAAATGCTTCATTTCTGTAAAATTGCCACTGCTGCTGATGTCATCAGAGTTACGCAGAGCAAGTTATGAATTGTAACCAATAAATTTTTTAAACCAAGTGTTTTTACACCATCTTTCTCCACGTCGTCCTTTAAATAATTTCAGGCAATCACTAGAAAGTTCACAATCAACCATTTTCTCAGTATTAGAAAAGTCTATTATGAATAAAACTGGGTGTTTTGATATTTCTGAAAGAAAAATATGTAATCAACTACTAGCTGATCAAATAATCAACATTTATAAGCTATTTTTATTTTAATTGTTCATAGAATTAATAGCACTGATGTGAAATCTTCTAAAGCAATTAATCACTAAGAAATGTTTTCTACATTTGAGTTACCTATTTCCACCTAATATAGTCACCTATAAATCTCTCTCCATGCATAGTTTTATCTTTTATATTTTTAGTCATTACAATGTTATCCAATCTTTGCTAGTTAAAGATGACTGTCTCAGTTTGAAATAATGTACACTCTAGACCAGTGGTCTCCAACCTTGGGCCTCCAGATGTTCTTGGACTTCAGCTCCCAGAAATCCTGGCCAGCAGAGGTGGTGGTGAAGGCTTCTGGGAGTTGTAGTCCAAGAACATCTAGAGGCCCAAGGTTGGGGACCACTGCTCTAGACCATATATGCTAATTGCTTGTCTGATTTGTAAGAAATGAGAAAACCTCCCTTGATGGCCTGGTCCACACATGATGATAAACCCTGCAAGAACCCTTGAGTTGTTGGTTACAAAGGGGATGCTTATGCATGCAGCCCCAGCTGTTCCACACATTGCAGCAGGAGTGGCAAAACCTCACGTAGTACAAACCTGAGGTCTCCCGCTGGTTTGTTTCTCACCCAACAAAGCAAAGAAGGAATCCAGTTTGTTTCAGGGTTTCTTTGTAGATTTCAGCTCTGGTTTGTTGGAAACAGCACTGTAGCTGCACCTGGGTTGAAGCTGTCTGGTTTATTCCGCCACTTCTATGGCAAGAGGGAAGAATGACTGGTGTGCAGTGAGCATGCTGTGCTGTTCACCTGCAGCAAGGTTCCCACCGAGCTTTGCTTTGCCATGTCATGAACCAACCACAGACAACGTCACTCTTGCTTATCAGATCCTCTTCCCATAAAATATAAAATGGAAATTAAGCTCTTCCATCCCTAATCACTTCTGTCATTCAGAATATCTTCCCAATTTGTTCATTGTAATAGTGAGATATTAATGGGTAGGAACTAATTTGTTCCATTATGTCACAGAGGGAAACCCCATGGCTCTTGGAATACATATAGATCATCCTCCGTGGCTGTTCTGGTGGTCACTGGGCTCCTGCCACCACATTTGCCACTGTGCTGCTAGCAAAAATCACAAGGGGCCAACAAAGAGAGACTGTAATATTATAAAGTGGTTTCTTCAGAGTCTCCTTGGGAATGTAGGCATTCATCTGTATGTGTACAAAATACATAATAAGGTTTTTATATATACATATAAAAAAGAAAATCCGAGGCATGTGCTGCATCTCTAACATCACACTGCAGCTACAAAAAGTCAGTCTTTTTTTAAAAAAAATGTTTAATTACACAAATTTTGGATTTAGTACAATCTGAGAGGTGCTACTTCGCACTCATGAGTGCCTCTGGTTCTTTTTTTCTGCTCCATGATTGTTGCAGAAACATGTAAAGCCTTTGTTCAGTTGGTATTTTGTCATCTGTCTGAATATGGTGCACATCCCTAAGGTTAACCATTCATACGTTCATCTAGATCCTTTCCTTTAGGGGACAGTTAATGTGAGAGGCATGCATTCCAAAAATATTTCTTCTAAACAGAGATTCTCTTAACTGCTGTCACCATTTTAAGGCATAGTGAATTGTATGTCTCTTTAGTTCAAATGCTGTTTTTAGTCAAGCCATTCCTGCAATTTGTTCAGTGATTTAAAAAAAATTGTTGTCGTTGTAACAGGTGGTACAGTTGTATGTTGGGCAAGAAGTGTAGTTTGGCCCCATTGAAAGAGGAGCTTCGAATCCATGGAGTAAGTATTTCTTTAAATGTGCAGCAGCCAGTTTGCAATGTTTGCTTAGTTTTTGTTGTCTGCTATTTGTATAAAATGTTCTTCTGTGGTATAGCGTCTACTGATACAGTACCCTCTGATGCACTGAAAAATCTAGCACTCTTCTCTATCAAATGTGGATCTTGAAAGGAAGTCCCGCTTTCGCTGGTCCTTTATTCCACATTACTTTGTGCAGTTCCCACCTCGGTCAAAGTACTACCGTTTTAGCAGTAGAGAATGGCTGAAGATGCAGTGTGTCCTGTGTGTTAAACCATTTGTTTTATTCTGAGTGCATTCACACCAGCAATGATTTTGGGTTTTGCTGTGAGATGTCTGTTCTCCTTTTTAGTGCATATACATGCATTCTGCAATACATATCATTTCTCATTTTCCCCTTGACTCTTTCTAGTTTGTGAACGTTTATAATTTCCCAGACATAGAAAAGAGGCAAGTGCAGTGACTGAGTATCAAAGATACACTGAACAATATAGCAGGATCTTTCAGTCCAAAGTACATGCGGCTGTTAGAAGCGTTGTGTTGGCGAGTCTGCTTTCCTGCGAGCCTTCCAGGTTTCCTCTTAGTGGGATACACCAAGCCATATGAAGAAGAAAAGTGGGCTGCCACTGCCTATGTGAAATTGCTATTGTTCTCTGTCCATCAGTATATTTATGCATCATGCTGCCTGCACTCCCATCTCTTTGGTAAAAGTTTTAACTCTGCAAAGGGAGAAAAACTAGGTAAAAATATTTTAAATAAATAATAGAGATTTGGGGTGGTGGGATGGATGTTAGGGGATAGAATGCTGTCCCCTAACATCACAGTTCCCTGGCTGAATTACCATCTGGAGTTTCTCTAGATTGCATGAGGAAGTCAGAGAGTGGGGAGTGAAACCTGGTACATTCAGACAGTGCTTTGAAAGGTCCCTTGACACACACACAACTCCACATCTCTAGAAGAAGAAATCCATTATGCTCCATCTCACCCACGACTTAAAAACCATTCTGCCTAGAATATCTGTATCCTGCCTACTGTTCTACTGAACATTTAAACTGTAAAATTATCAGAAGGGCTTCTCAGTATTAGACTGGCTTAGCTTCAGCATGTTAGTTTTGCCTTGGGCTTTAAGATCTCATACTGATCTTCAGACCACTCTGTTGTCCATGATGAGAGACTTTAGGGGAAAATTGTCATATGATGGTTTCTCCGAGAGAACAGTGTGTGCTGGTTGGGTTGGGCCTGCTTCCTGTGAGTAAGTCTGACACCAACATTTTGTTTTATGGCCTGGCAGTAATAATGGCCAAGTGTGGCATTGCTCTTACTTCCCTCCATTCTCTCTTGCACACAATGTGATCTTTTCTATGTTCTAATACAGCCAAATATATACACATGCATGGTCTTGGGACAGAGAATGCATGAGTATGACTCTGTATACAGTGGTGCCTCGCAAGACGATGTTAATTCGTTCTGCGAAAAGCGCTATCTTGCGACAACATTGTCTTGCGAAATGCGGTCCCCCATTGGAATGCATTGAAATCTATTTAATGCGTTCCAATGGGGGGGGAAGTCTTGCGAAAATCGTCCATAGAACACATTGTCTTGCAGAACGTGGTTCCCCATTGGAATTCATTGAAACCTATTTAATGCGTTCCAATGGGGAAAAATCGTCATCTTGCAAAAATCGTCTATAGAAAACATCGTCTTGCGAAGCGCAACAGCGATTGCAAAAACCAGTCGTCTTGCGGATTAATCGTCTTGCGAGGCACCACTATATATGGCATCCTCCCTTCAGCAGTGATGATCCCTGCAGTCTACCGAAAGCTGTTTAGCAGACTGTACAGATAGTTTATAGCAGGAATGTTCCATATAGGAAGCATTGTGTCACAATCATGCTCCCCATAGCCTGAGAAACACCTGAACTGTGGACAATTAAGCTAAAAAGAGGTATTCAGCTGAACTTGGGCACAGACATTTGTGTGGACCTCGCCAAAAGCCTTGATGCACTACATGTGGGCTGCAGGTTGCCCACAGGTGACATAAGAGTTTCTTTTGTTTTTGTTTGTATGTTTTGTTAAGTACTTTAATGTGCAACTGAGAGAATGTAGTGTCACCATGGAGTGTTTGGGAACTCTCATTTAAATATATCTGAAGCTGTAATGAGATGGCTGAAGAAAATAACATTCAGCCTACTGACAAAAACCTTCCTTTTGCAGGTTTCTAAAGTCACTCACACTGAATTCTGTCAAGGTCGCACCATGAGATGGGCACTAGCTTGGAGTTTCTATGAAAATGTTAAAGTGCCTGTAAGTACCACTCACCCACATCTGTACCCTCCTTACAATCCTGTTTGAGTCTAGATTGAGTCTACATTGGGAATTACTTTAGAGCTGGGATATCACAATTGCCAAAGTTGTTGGTTTCATTGATGTGGTCAGAGCTAAGGGGATTTCCGTGTTAGCAGTGTTCAAATTTGGCTTCAGTTGTATGATTTACGTGAATTAACTTGGCAGTAACTATTTCTGTACATAAGAAAACACATCTTGACGTATAATCTGGTGACTGAACATAATGGGTGCAGGCATTGAAACATTTAGAACGGTAGCATAGACTCTAGAGAAAGAGGAAGGAGGGGAATGTTTTTCCCTCTACCGTTTTGCTTTTCCTTAGACGCACGGAGGACATTAGCTGTGCAAGTGGTTGCAAATGGCACAGATTGTCTTGTTTGTCTGCTCAGATTTGGGCAGGTGGTACTGAATGGATCATTAGTGAGTATCTTGAGCTTCTTTCACTAATTGATATACTCTGCCTGAGCAGCTCCGACCAGTCAAGATGGCTTCTCTGATATGCAAGGTCTCAGGCTGCAACTGTGCATAACGTCAGCATATGCAGCACATTGGGCTTGCGTTTGTTGAAGTTGTATGATTTCCCTTCTGCCTTAGAGGAGAATTATACTGATAGACTTGCTAGTGATGGCATTTGTAAATCACTTAATGTGTCCTATGTGAGAAGAGAGTGAAGGAAAAAGCATGAATGAGTTTGAGGGCTCTTTACCTTTGATAGCAGTCTGACAGAAATTCAACAGAAAATGCTTCCTTTCACTGCATCTCAGTGATAGATTTTTGTGTGTTCCAAAGCAAACAGCAAGAATCTCTTTTTGAAGAGCAACCCACAATTTAGCAACAACCACCTGCCTTTTGACACCATGTAGCAAATTATAACCTTTAAAAAACATTGTACACTTAAGTAGGGTTGCAGTCTTAAGCATAATTAATTTCTTATAGCATCTTAATGTAATTTTATTTCTTTATATGTTGTTGGTAGCACCTTTAACTTTCACTGTTAAAGCAATTCTGAATCAATATATTTTGGAAAAGGAAATTACTTTGGCATAATATGAACTTTTCTGCAGTTTTCTGGAAGAGTTCTGTTGAGTGACACAAGAATTACAGTGGGGTCTCGACTTACGAACGGCTCGACATACGAACGTTTCGACTTATGAACCGCTCTCATAGGAATATATGGACTCGACTTACGAACTTAGATTCGAGTTACAAACTCTTTTCCCCCCTTTTTTAAAAAGCTAAGTCATCGTAGGTTAAAAGGAAAAAAGAAAAAAATTATCCCCCTCTAGTGGCAGAAGGCGGAATAGCAGCTTCCCATTAGTTTCTATGGATGAAAAGAGCAGATACGGATTAAATGGTTTTCAATGCATTCCTATGGGAAATGCAGATTCGACTTAAGAACTTTTCAACTTGAGAACTGCCTTCCAATACGGATTAAGTTCGTAATTCGAGACCCCACTGTACCCTCCCTGCCAACCAAGTATATTTTTTCCTGATTTCTCTACTAAAAGTAAAGCCTTATTGGCTAGAAGGTTCTGGGAGTTGTAGTAAAATCTAGTTTTTTTTAAACTCTAGACCATATCCAGAAACATTTCAGCTTATCTGCAGTGAGGAGATGCTGTAGATGGTTGGTTATTTCAGGCCCTTTTCCTTTGCTTTTTCAGCTTAGAGAGTTCCCTGAAATGACATGCATGCCAGTGCCAGTTGTGATTACATCACAGACTTATGTGATGGAATTGTGATGCTTGTCGTTTACTGTTTCCTGCCCACTTGAGTTTACCTTTTTTCTTCTTCACTAGCATTGTGCCCAGAGTTGACATTTGCAGTATATAGCCAAATACTGCATTAAATTATCTTTTTTTTTTTTTTGCTTTATTGAGCACCTTGTATTTCATTAATAAATAAAACACTTATTTCCGTTATCTGATTTTTCCTCATTCCGATTCAATTGTGGGAATTTTGTGTATATGGTTTTGTTTTGTTCCCTCTCCAGTTTCCTGAACTCTCTTACCTCAGCTATAATAACAAGCATGCAGGATGCTGTCAGGTTGACACTGCTACTCCCAGCATCCTGAAAAAAAGGAAAATGAGCTTACATTCCTGTAGAAGGGCCTGCGATACCAGATATAAGAGCTCAGCTGCGGCCATCCAGCTTCTGTCTAAAATTCCTTAACCAGTCAGAATTCGGTATAGTTGGAATATTTTCTGCCTACAGAACAAAGCTAGGCAACATTTCAACTTTCCTATGCTGATCATTCAGAAATAAACCAAAATGGCAACCCCTAACTTCTTTATTACTTCTGTTTTTTATAATGCAACGGAGTTGCAAATATACCTAGTTTTTATGTTACAGGTGATTTCATACATACACAAGTATTCCTTTAGAATGCTGTTCTGTAAAAGACTGAATCCATGCTTAGCAGCAGTCGAATAATCATTTCTGCTTTACTATTGATAGAATAATAACTAATCTTTATTGCGCATTTCATTGTTTTCTTCTGTTAGCTCCTATGCATTTAAGCCACCTTGAGTTCCTCTTGAAATAAATAAGTAAATAAATATTTTATCAAGTACATTTTTTTTTCAAATTTCATATTTGTATGCAGCTTTTCCCTGACCTCTTCTACTTTGAAATTTTCTTTATTTGGAGATTTTATCATTCCTGTGTTAACTTAAAGAATGTCACTGAAACAAAATTACTAAACTCTTCCCTGCCACAATAGGGTGATTAACTTTGGCAGAACTAAAGGCTGAACATTTGCCTCCAGCATCTGCTGCAGGCTGCACAAGGCCCAGAAATTAGCAAATCTGTGGAAAATTTACAGACAAAACAGGAAAGGCCTGTACATTCACTTCCAGTTTTGATTCGGTGGGGGTACGGTTGTGGGATTCATTTCTGCAAAAATGGCTGCTTCTAGAGACCTCTGGAAATTGCCAAAGGTTTTCAAACATTTTGGTACTGGGGTGTTCTGCAGTGACTCTCAGACCACACTTTGCCTATCTGGATAGCCATAGCCGCCTCAAAAGGCTGCTGTGGAGGATGAGAGGGCTGTCACTGTCAAAGTGGGCCGTAGTATGGTGGGCTGGTAGAAGGAGGAAGGGGCAGGAAGCAGTTCTTCCATAAACTTCTTTAGCATAGAATGTGGGCCTGTTTTTAAATGATTTCCCACTCTCCCAGCTAAATCTTGTACACCATCGCATCTTATTCAGAGACGTTTGGAGGGAGATGCAGATTGAGGATGGGATGTGACAGACAACTTTCCTTCCAGGGGCATCCTTGAGTAAACTTATAGTTGGATATGAACTTGAGTTTCAATGATTCCCCTCTTCTTTATCAGTCTTCCACATCCATTCTACTTTGTTCTGGAGGCCCTGGTCCTCTAGAAAGGCTTTGTAGAGGCACAGGAAGCTGAAGAGAAGGAGATAGAAAACTTTCTTTTCATAAATATTCTTAAATCAGCTTATTTTAGGATGAAAGCCCTTGTCAGAGCATTGTAAGTGAATTTCTGTTCATGTCGATAATGATGGCATGATTCTGCTAATACAGTTTTGAATTCTAAATCTTCTGTTCAACTCTGTGTTCTTCTGTGGTGTGCTTTCCCCCTCAGTCACCTCCTTCTAAGAAAAGAAAACTAGAAAAGCCTCGGAAACCAATTACATTCCTTGTTTTGGCATCTACAGCCAAAGAACTAGCTATGAAAGCCCCTTCAGTAGGAATAGATGCTGTTGAAGGCATGGCAGTAGTTGCAGCATGGATTCGAAAACTTCTCACTGACCTGAAGGTACAGAAACTAACATTTATGTTTTTCACTGTTACTGTACTTTCGAAAATGGCAGATAATCCATCAGAATTACGCTCAAGTTCTGTGTTTGATTAATTTGATAGGTTCAGCATAAAAATCTTCCCTGTGACACAGATGAAGTCAGCTTATTTCTAACAGCTTTGGAAAATTCCTGGATCCACTTAAGGAGGAAGAAAAGGGACAGAGTCAGGCAATTGCGTGAACTTCCTCGAGCATCTGTTGATTTCCTGCAAACCCCAGAAGAGAAGGCCCAGAAAAACACAAGTAATACCACAGAATCTGAGGGAGACAAGAGTGAAATTGCCAGTGAACCATCTGATCACAACCATGAGTCACCTCAGGATAATAAACTCAACAGTGCACTTGTCATTAATAAGGAAGATATCCCGGGCCATCTTGAAGAAAACAGCACAGCAGCAGAACCAGCCTTAGATGAGTCCATTGATGGAAAGGAGGAGTCCAGCATCTCAGGCTCTGATAACCAAACTGAGTCTGGGCAGAATGCCAGCACATCCAGCGAATGGTTCCTTTTCAAATGTGTGTTAATTGTGAAGACAGAAGGACCTGATTTCCTAGTAGAAATGCACTGGATAGAAGGACAGAACAGAGACTTAATGAATCAGTTGTGTACATACCTAAAGAATCAAATGTTTCGGTTGGTTACTACTTAAGTACCTGTGCGAGTGAGGATGATTGTATTACTCTTATATTTGTGGTCTTGGTTTTGTGTTTAATATATTTTTGACACCATTGCTGTGAAAGATAACTGTTTTTAGAATACTTATGAAGTGTGAAGGTGAAAAAAAACATGTACAGAAACCCTGAGTTGGATCAGAGCTCAGTTATTCTTAGCTTTTGATTAGAATAAATGGGACCTAAGGTGTGACTTGCTCTTCATATTGCTTTCACTGTGCAGCTAACTTAGTCTGAATCCATAACTCTTCATGTATCCTTTGGTATTTTATTAACAGTTGTTCTATGTACTTAGAATCAATATTGTACATGCCTTCAAAAGTCAAATCTGTTGTGGGTTCACTGCTGACTTTTTCATCTGCTTGGAAATTCTACACAGTTGTTTTAGAATTGTAGAATACTTGAGTTGGAAGGGGTCTATAAGGCATTGAGTCCATTCCCCCTGCTCAAGGCAGAAAGCCAAATCAAAGCAGATCTAACAGATGGTTGTCCAGTTTTCTCTTGAATGCCTCCAGCATTGTGCTTTGGGGCCCTGCCTCCCTTGACAGTTGCCTCGTGAATATTGCTGAATCTTGGATTCTTATGAAAGAAATATTTTTCTACATGCTATAGCTTCTGTTTTGAAAGAAAAGGGAAAAGATGTGTTCGTTTTTATCATGGAATTGTATGAATCTGTGGTACTCTGATTTATTTTGATGAAAAATTATTTTTAAATTGAAAGTTGATGTAAAACCAGAGTGAATACAGGGCTTTCAGTGCCTCATTGTCACTGCTAGTGATTTGCATCACGCAGATGACAAGATAAAGCTATTGGAGTAACGCCCATTTCATTCATCTTCTACATTCATAGCATCCATTCAGTTCATTGACAAGTCTTGGAGCAGTTCATGAAGCTTTTTTTGTATGGGCAACCAACCAAATCAGGAAGTCCTTAATTAACTGCAATTTCCTATTTCTTCCAGATCAGAAAACAAAGGGCTGTGGGCCTGAGGAAAAGTAAATAAAAACCCTGGATCACAAATTTTATCAGGATTTGTGTTTTGTTTATAACCATTGTTTTATCTAGCAGCATTGGGGAAGGCTGATGGAGGAGGTAAGGCATCTTTTTGAGTCCACAGTTCTCCATAGCGGTATGCCCGTCCCACTTCTGAAGTGTTAATTTTAATAAAATAGATATTGTACAAAAAGAACCAATCCAGGCATGAGAAATGTAAGAAACACTGGATGCCATTGTTACCCTGAGCCATGTATGGTGATTAAAAAACAACGGCAACAACATTTTGAGCTTTCTTCAGAACAAAAAAGAAAAGAACAGAAAGAAAAGGAAAGATGTTTTTGATAGTTGAAGAATGTAATACTTGGGAAGTTTGCAGACTTAGCTGAGTGCAGTTTTAATCACAGATTGTTAAGAATCAGCAAAATATATTTAAAAGTGCAACAGTCTAGAGGTTTGCAGCAGTAAACCTTAAGGTGTTGCCTTGTATTATTTTACTTGGTCTGGCATTGGCTTTAGAATGTATTTTTTGTTAAGTGCCATCCAAGCAAGTGTTAATAATAGCATCTTAAATTAGAAGGTGGCTAGAGTTACTCAGTTATTCAGCCTGTTGAGGGATGAGGGAACATGACTACATTTATGCAAAAATCAAGTGACATTGGCCAGAATCCTATTGCTTGGCTTAGCTGAAGGAGCCAAGTTGGAACACTTGAAAAAATTTGGACATGTTACATTTTTGGATTGTGGTTGTCAGAATCCTATAACTAGCATGGCCATACTGGATGATGTAGTGTGGGAATTGTAGTCTAAAAATGTCTGGACAGCCTACACCATCATAGTGGCTGAAATCCTTTATTCTCTTGTGTAGAAGGCAAATGGCAAAATTTTCAGTGGCTTCTTGCTGGCAGTTAATGAGCTCCCTCAGATCCTTGAGCGTTTATGAAGTCTGTGGGTGCACATGTGTTAATCACAACTGGATTTCAGCCATTGATTGATTGGCATTGGGCCGGACAAACTTAAATATACATTAGCTCTGGACATTTCCCTGCTGTTTTTGTACAACAGAGAAAGGATAATGTTATCATAGAATGTTAGAATAATGTTAGTATTCAGTTGCAACATCATTTATTAAGCATGGAAGATTTCATCAAGAATGGAAATATTAAGCATTATAATTTCCTCTAGGAAATAACAAGAGGTACTCTCTTCCATGTAAATGTATTTGATACTAGAGATGGGGTATTTGTATACGAACATCCCCATGCATCTGGACTTAATGAGGGTCTGGGCCCTGGAGCCGGACCATCAACTCACGCATGCAGTGGCAACCTCGCTCATCCTTCTGATCACTCCCAGAGCGCTGCTTTCTTCCGGCTCGGCTAGCCTCTCCAGGCAGGGAGAGGGAGGACGAGTCTACCTGCAAGGCTTCCAAGTGGCCAACCGAGCGGGAAGAGAGCGGAGCTCCGGGAGCGATTGGAAGGATGAGCGAGGCTGCCGCCACTGGACACATGAGTGGATGGTCTGGCCCCAGAGGCTGGACCTTTGTTAAGTCCAGCTGCATAGGGGTATTTGTATACAAATACCTCCATCTCTACTTGATACCAAATATAAAGTTCTTGGATGAAAAAAAGGTACATCGTATTTGAGTACAGTAATTTGGGGGAAATGTGGCTAGATTCATACCGGTAGTAATCTCCAAAATCTCATTTATAGAAGAAACACAAATAATGCAGATTTTAAATTTGACTTGTGGATGCATATGTGCAGAACTGTACAGACAGAAGTTGAAAATGTGTTTGACTGTAAGTTACCTATGGACTCTTTAGACTTATTAGGTAAAGCTTAAGGTATCACTACTATTGGAAAAGGGGTGCTATGAATTAATTGATATACATAGTATATTGTCCACTATTTTCATTCTAGCTGCATGTTATTTGAAATGTAATGACTTATTTAGCTATTGGAAAAAGAGTCGATTTTCCTAGGTGAGGATAACTCACCCCATATTTTTGTATATCCTGTAATACTGGGGTGTGCGTATGTTTTTTTAAAAGTGATACAAAGATTGTAAAACCTTATCTTTTTTCATGGATGCAGAATTTCACTTCAGTCACTTATTTATTCATCTTTTCTACTGCCATAAAGTGCACACATCATGCAGTTGCAGCCATATCTGTCATCTGGTAAACAAATAGTATATTAACTGCTGCAGTTCTTTAAAACTTTGCAGCATCTGGTGGACAAACTGCTTTTTTCAGGAAATTTTGGGGAGAAAGTCTACAGCTATGGCCTTTTATGATTTTTCTACTTGCTTATCTAGAAACTGAAGCCAAGATGCCTCATGCACTCAAACTGAGAAGCGTACCTCTTAACTAAGAAGCTAGACACAAGAAAGGGCACTGTAATGCCAAGATGGAATGTTCATCCGTATCCTTATGGGGTTTTTTTCTGGTCCTGAACTACAGGCCTTTTGCTTTGCTAGGTGGAAGGGTGTTGGCTCCATTGGATCTTTCACTTACTGTGCAAGAGGTGGCAGCGGTGTGGTGGTAGAAAGTACAGGTGCTTATGCCATAAACATATAAGCAGGGTTCAAAAGTGTAGGCCACTAATTGGTCTATTATGAACAAATGAGGAGCAGGTCCTTTGTCAAGCCAATGGCTCTTAATTATCTGTTCAAGACCAAACTATTCTCAAATATTTTGCATTGCAGCAGCACAGCTTGTAAGAATACAGTATTTTGCTTCCAGTTACTGTAAGAATTACAGTGTAGCTCAGAGGAAATTACTTTAAAAGAAAAAGATTTACAAGGTCGTGTTGAACGAATTTAGGGTTGTTACATATTATTTGCATTTCTGCTTTTCATATTTTGTAGAAACAGAGTGTATCAAATTATCATTGTTAGCAGAATAACATTCTGTGATATGCTATCTGCATATTCTTTGGCATATTTTAATGCATCTTCTCACAGTCTTTTCTTTCTTGAAAGCTGCACCATTTTCTAAGGAGAGTTTAAGTCTGTTGTTCCAGAAACCCTTGAGATCATTTCGTGCATGGGCCATTCTGTCCTTATGGCTTCCCATAGAAGAGTTGAAGTAACACTGTGGTAGTTATTTTGCTTTTTAATTTAGCTTGTTTGCAGACAGGTAGGTGTCCTGAGGATATGTATACAGGTTCTCTTCCTCTTTAGTATCTTTTTCCCCCTGCAGCAATTCTAAGGGGATTTGCAAAATCAAGATCCCTGTCTGAATTTCTCTGTAGCTCCTAGCTTGTCTCCTGGCAGTTTGAAAATGAAAAGTGCATGTCTTGTGTAGGGGGGAATTCTGAGGATTCCCCCTGCCCCAAATCATGCTATTGGCAAAATATGAAAAAGTTACTTTTTAAAAATTGCAACTCCTGAAACCGGCCTCCTCACAATGTCTGGTGCACTCCAGGTGTTGTGGTTTAAGATTTTTTTCCTAGTTTTTCAAATGTTTTTGAGTGTTCTGTGGTCCATTTCTGTTACATGGCTGTATATACAAATTCCTGACATCCTGCTACAACATGCGTTTCAGATGCCACAAAAATGCCTGAATTTGTATTCATTTATTTAAATCCCAGTTTTCAGAAGGAGGGACTCTCAGAGCTGCTTAAAGATCTATTTTTAAAAAGCACATATCAGAATCTGCCTCAGGCCTACAATCTCAAAGAAACACACAAAAGGAAAAAGACATGGGGCAGGAAGAGGAAACTGGCTTGTTTTCTTTAATGCACGCGAAAAGAAAACCAAAAGCAGTCTTTGCTAGTTGAAAACCTACATAAATCCCTACTGCTTCTGCTGCTGACTTTGTCTATGATCTTAAGAAGTCCAGTTGAGTCTTTCTAAGATATCTAGATAACGGTGCCTGTCCATTGACCGTCGATGCATGTCTCTCACCCCTCACTGCTATTCTCTTTGCATCTCTCCCTCCTGCATTGTGTCTCCAGCAAAATGCAGATCCTGGTGCGCAGTCTGTGGTAGCTTCTTCTCTCGTTGTGTTCTGCTCGCTGAGATATGAATTATTAATGGTGCATTAAATGGAGGCTGGCCAGGGGCCAGGGGATGGTGCTAATCAGAAGCTAATTGAGGAAGAAATGAGATACTGTTCCCAGTTACCCAAGCGTGTGGCGTACAAAGCCGCTGATTACCAAAGGTGACCCTGCTGGAGTGCCTGAGCTCTGGGGATGGCACAAAAAAAATCCCAGTAGGAAACCCTGAATGCAACTGGATGAAACACTGCCTATATGTCCACCCACGCTCTGAAGCCCTGTGACCTTCTTTCCCGCCGCTTACCTGCAGGGCTTTCTTGCACCAGTGCTCATTGGGGAACTTGCTATTTAGTGTCCCAGATTAGAGCACAAGTGTTAATCACTGTGCCTCTGAGCAAGAGCAAAGTGCCTTTTCTTCACTACCAAATACTGACTGCCAAAACATGCCTGGTATTGGAGATGAACAGTGAGGTCAGAGAGGATGACATAGCTTCCTCTCTAGTTTGGTTTATTGCACCTCGCTGTAAACAGAGTACTGCCTGCCTAGAGATTTTGACTTGCAACGTGGTGTGTTTGATATTAAACCACCTGATAATGTCTCTGGACAGTGTGCAACACATCTTTAAAAATGCAAGCCGTAGGAGAATGACTGGAGACAAAAACAGGTAGCAAAGTTTCGGAAAACTATCTAGAATACCAGAAGAAAAAACTGCAGCAAAAGAGAACTGCTGAACATTAAAGGCAGTTCTTCAAATGCCTGGCAGATTTTAAAGTTCTTTATTGCAGCCTAAAACAGGGACTTGGTGGGGCTGCGGGCTAAACCGCAGAAGCCTGTGCTGCAGGGTCAGAGGACCAAGCAGTCGTAAGATCAAATCCACATGACGTCGCTTGTTCCAGCTCCCGCCAACCTAGTGGTTCGAAAGCATGCAAATGCAAGTAGATACTGTAAATAGGGACCATCTCTCAGTGGGAAGGTAACAGCGTTCCGTGTCTAAGTCGCACTGGCCATGTGACCACGGAAGATTTGTCTTCGGACAAAACGCTGGCTCTATGGCTTGGAAACGGGGATGAGCACCGCCCCCTAGAGTCAAACACGACTGGACAAAAATTGTCAAGGAGAACCTTTACCTTTACCTAAAACAGCATAATGACCTGGACAGGCAAGCCTTCCTAGTTGGGGAGGGGATATTCCACAGATTGGTGGGGGAGTGTGGAGAAAGGCTTCTTTCATATGGTGTATATTAACATATCCCACCCACCCC